ATTAAGTTTGTACGAGGTGATTAAAAAGTTAAGTGGGCGAAACTAATACCCATTTATTTTTTGTTAGTCAAGAGCTAGAATAACTTTTATTATTTTCCTATCTTTTGTTCAACAAAGAGATCTGTTGGTGTTGCATCAGCCTGAGCATAGCTAAAAAAAGACTGTCCCTGCTAAGTTTCATTGCTAAAAGGCCATTCATGGATTTTCCACCATCTCTAAATGCTGTGACTAAACAGTGATAGGGTATTTATCATTAAATATATGCTGTAATAATAAAAATATTTCTGAAAAAGGGATAAAGAGTGTCTATGCATTTCTATTTTAAATAATCATCAGATATTAGTCAGCCCTGTATGCTTAAGTTAATACCTATTCTTTTCTATTTTCTGGAATAATCATAGAAGAGAAGCTAAAGACTCAAAATTACAATACAAAACTGTAATTTCATTGTTATAAATAGGTCATAGGTCTAGATCTATCAAAATATTACCTTTAAAAAAACAGACAAAAAAGTATAGGGAAACAGTATGAGTAAATGATTTTTTAAATAGTGCCAGCAATAATTTAAATTGACTTTCACCCCTGCAGTAAACAGGATGTATCTACTCAACAAAGGTATATGTTAAGGCCTGGAAAAAGCAAAACAAGGATCATTTAGAATGTAACTGAGATGGATGGTTTATCAAAGTCTCCTGCCTTACAAATGACTTTGTAACCCTGAATAAAAACTTTGCTTTATCTCTCTTTTCATGAAAATGTCTTTAAATTGCAGCAAAAAATGCTTTTTAGTCACTCTGGCTATGTTTGTAAAATATTGAGATCTTATAACATCCATCTATCTTCTCCCACTTAGTCCTTGTCAGGGTCGTGTTGGGGCTGGAGCCTACGTCTATGGGTGAGAGGCGGGATACACCGTGGACAGTTCGCCAGTCTGTCGCAGGGCAACACAGAGACACTCAACCATGCAGACACACACTCACACCTAAGGAGAATATAGAGAAGCCAATGAACCTAACAGTCATGTTTTTGGACTGTGGGAGGAAGCCGGAGTACCCAGAGAGAACCCAGGTTTGCACATGGAGAACATGCAAACTCCATGCAGAAAGACCCCGGGCAGGGAATCAAACCCAGAACCTTCTTGTTGCAAGGCAGCAGAGCTACCCCATATATATTTTTTTTTTCATACAAAACTTAAAAAAAAAAAGTTTCATATAATACGTGGAAAAACAGAATATGCCATGAGGTTGATATGAATCAATCTAACGAGTTTTATCAAAATATAATCCAAAGACAGGATTGATTGCATGTATTTTCTTACTACAGATTATCTCAGCTTTTTATTGACAAATATAAAAACAAATCATCTCCCTCTCAAGACAAAATTATATTTTATAATCAAAATAACTTCATAATATAAAATAAATGAAAAAAACAAAGCCTAAAGTAAAGCAGCAGAGGTAAGTTTTATAACTGATATGAGTCATTTCTGTGTTTTTCAGTAGTTAGAGGGTTTGTTTGTATGAGAGACTAAATATTTCACTAATGCTGAAGTGTTGTGTAAAATTTTTACTTTGGTATTTTTCTTCATAACTATGTTTCTTCAGATTCCAGTCATGTGATTTGAACTGCTGACAGATATTCTCAGCCCATTAGTACATAGTTGTCATCTCTCAGCTCATTGTGAAACCATAAAACATCACTTTTGCAAAGTTTTTTTTTAGAAAGGAAGGGCCTCTCTTGACATTTTTATGTCTATCCAAAAGCAATAGCTTAAGCTGTCATTTTCAACTTCTAACACCTTTATTTACAGTATGTATGCAATCTTACCCACTGCACCTTTTTTCTACCTTGGCAGTAATAGCAGTCTTCCAGTCTTGAGGCTTTGTATGAGCAGTGGTGTCAAAAGTACACACATTTGTTACTTATGTAGAAGTACAAATACAGTACTGCTGTTTAGTATCAACTTGACCTCTTTACTCAAGTAAAATTGAAAAAGTTTGTGCTCCGAAAACTACTTAAAGTATAAAACCTTATAAAAACCTTTAAAAAAAAAAAAAACAGCCAGTTTCAACAGTTTCAACTAAAGATTTGTTCAAAAAGTGAGTAAAACTCTAAATGATTCTATTATTTTCACACACTCTATACCATTTATAGGATTACCCTTCAGTATTATTCTCTGAGGGTAAATATTTTGGAGTTACCGGTATGTAAGTTGCTTCAAGGCCAGAGGAGCAGCCAGAAATAGAAATTGGAATGAAATATATGAAATATGAAGAGACACTGATGCAGGAAGGTTTTTTTTCCCTGCCTATGAAGTAAATTGTGAACACCAAGCATTACTAGTAGGGACAGGATTAGAATACACAATTCATCAGGAGGTATGTGGCAGTGATGGGGAGGGAGGCAGTTCCTATGGAGAATTTCCAATAAGGAAATCCATAGGGGCCAGTGGGAGCCATCCATTGCACAACACTATGGCGGCTCAGGAAAGCAGCCATAGTTCAATACGGATCTCTGTCTAATTATGTGTTGTTTATCTTATTTATGTTATTTATATATTTTTAGCTTTGCTATCAAGCAGGTAAATCTATCTATCTATCTATCTATCTATCTATCTATCTATCTGTCTGTCTGTCTGTCTGTCTGTCTGTCTGTCTGTCTGTCTGTCTGTCTGTCTGTCTGTCTGTCTGTCTGTCTGTCTGTCTGTCTGTCTGTCTGCTTGTTGGTCCCTCCCTCCGTCCGTCCATCCAATCCATCCTAACTAGGAATTATTTAAATACTATTCTATTATGGATGATTTTGAAAATCTAATTTAGATGTCAAATCTTTAGAATGACTGATTCGAACTCTTAGTGAGGTTCCTCCATCTTCTTGAAGTGATGTATTATAGCTTGACAATAAATCAAGGTTTGCTGCCAAACTCTCCCAAGAATTTCCACTAAAAATGTGGTGATTAATGAGCTGAGAATATCTGTCAGCGGTTCAAATCACTTAACTTGAATCCAGTAAAACGTATTGCAGAAGAAAAATACCAAAGCAAAATTTCTCTAGAAGTTTTACGCAACACTTTAGTGTTAGCAAAATATTTAATCTCCCATAGAAACAAACACTTCAACTACTGACAAAAAAACAACAACACAAAAATCATTCATCTGGGTTTTAAAACTTACCTCTGCTGCTTAAAACTTTAATTTAAATTTAATTTAATTAGAAAGTTAGGCTGATTTGCTGAAAATTACATAATTTATTCTTAAAAGGCAGGTCATATGTTTGTTAGATCTGACAAAAAAGCTCACATAATCTGTATCTAGAAAATCAATTCAATGGAGTCTTTCTTTGGATTGTTTTGATATGGTTTGTCAGAATGATTCACATTTTTCGCATGATATCCAAAATAAAAAAAGAATTTGCTTCATTCTAAACAGTTTAAAGAAAATGAAAAAAAAATATTCAGGGATGCAGAGCCATTTGTGAGGCTGAGACTCCTGTAAACTACAGTGAGGTGGAGATTACTGGGTTTTCAACACAACAGGTAGTAGAATAGATCAATCAAAATGTGATTATTAACAAAGATTTGACTAAATCAAAAACCAAAAGCTTTCAGAAGAATTGTAAAGGTTTTCTTTGTATTTTAAAACCATTAACCATACTGGCTAAGCATTTATATTTATCACTACAAATTATCCATTTTCTAACACGCTTATCCTAAGTGGGGTCGCGAGGGGTGCTGGTGCCTGTCTCCAGCAGTCAATGGGCGAGAGGCAGGGTACACCCTGGACAGGTCACCAGTCCATCACAGGACAACACAGAGACAAACAACCATTCACACCTAAGGTGACTGTAGAGAAAGTCATGTTTTTGGACTGTGGGAGGAAGCCAGAGTACCCAGAGAGAACCCACGCATTATGCAACATGTATACTCCATGCTGAAAGACCACAGGCCGGGAATCGAACCCAGAACCTTCTCGCTGCAAGGCTGCAAGGCCACTGCGCCACTGAGCACACAAGCTTTAAAATGGAGCTAACTGTTTGGCTAAAAATTTTTAATTAACCTTAGTTATAATCCTGAACTTTGCATTTGCTGTCAAATACATTTTATAAAAGTAATCTTTTTGTTGTTGTTGTGTGTTTGTTTTTAAGCAAAGTTACCCAGAATGGGCCCTATTGTTTCAAGGTCTTATTGGTGGCTCATATTTAGGACTTTGATTTGATTTTTGTGATTTTTGTTTTAGTCTATTTATTTTAGCCAGCTTTGTGCAGTGCTATTACTTCTCATTTGAATTGTCACCTAGTTTTCATGTTTTGTGTTGTTATCCTTGCGACGACTGTGCTTGATAATGCATTATTACTTTTTTATATACTTTACTTTTAATGTTTTATAATTTATTTCAACAGCTGGCTTTCCTCTGTTCTCTCATTTCCCATCTTTAACAAATGTACTTTTCAAAAACTGATCAAAACTGAAATAAAGATTTATTGAAAAAAGTATATTTGCACATATTTGAAATAAAATAATGTAGTTGCCTTTTAAAAAAAATCTTAATCATATATCACTTTTTTTCCATTGGTTTTTTTTAATTTTTTTACAGTACCTGCTCTAATCCAGGGAAAAAGCATTTATTTTAAGAAAACAAACTTACTCAGATTTTAGATTTTGCAGTGTTGCCAGTTCTTACTCAACCCTTTTCAGTTGTCTTCTTTAACGCAGCTGTGTGGTCCTCTCTGACGCCTCCATAGTTCTTTTTTTTCCTGTTGGACAATTCATTTTCTAATATTTTATTTAATAAAAGATCAGTTTGTTCTCATTGCTGTCCGTTTTCTGTTCATTCTGTATTTAGGTCCTTATTATACAGCAACAAATCTTCAAACAAAACCAGCTTCCAACCAAGATGGCATAAAGTTCAGCTGATGTTATTAATCTGAAGTTTGACCACTTTCAGTTTTATACATGAAAGCTTTAGTATGAAGAATAGAAACTTAAGAAGCTAAGAAGTGCCATATTTATTGTTTTACTTGTTATACTTTATTCAAATTGGGTTACAGAAAGAAATATGTACAAATCACCTCATAGCTTCACAAAAGCGGTGACAAATCTTACATTGAAAGCCAATGTTTTGCTTACAGAAGAAAACATTTCTGGTCTCTTAATAACCCAGATCTTCATGCACAAACAATATTCTTTCAATTCACCCACATATACTGTAGGAAATTTCAGATTCTTTAATATAAGTTGAAATGCATTTTGTTCTATATTGCTAATTCGAGGTCTTGTACATTCATTTTGATGCAGTACAACCTGCAAACCCAAGGAAGAATGCAAATTTAAATGGTTTTCTTTATCATACCAAACCTAAAAGGTCCAACATCTCAACAGTTTATGTAAATCTGACATGACTCATTTAGAATGTGAGGAAGACGGAAAAACAATACAAATACATAATTGCTCTTTTTTGGTTGTTAATTGATAAACATGAAAATTCTTCCAAAACAATTTGATTATGGAAAAGCTGCACATAATGTAAATATGAAGGCATACATTCATTAAATGACCCACACTTCCATTTATATTCATTGGTTATTAGATCCATAAAATAAACATAAAAACACACAAAACACAGTTAATAAAAAAATAAAAAAATAAAATGAAACCAAGAAGTGGGGTAGTACAGTGAATTTTAACCCTTATAATCAGTGCTGAATATTTGTTAGAGTCAGATTAATCAAACTTAGCCGTAGTCCTGCTTAAATTACACACCCTACAACTAAAACTGACAAGGATCATGGCATTAAAACACTGAATGCACTCATTTCTTCTGGGAGCTTTATACGCTCAATTGCATTAGAAATACTAGGTTGGTGAATGACGACTTCAGTTTCAAAATGTGCAACAAAGTCACATGCAAATACTTTTGAACCCATTAAACATCATCTTTCTTTTTCTTGTTATGTAAAGAAAAAATGTTGGTTTCTGGCAAGACTTAAGGCCCCTATTTAAGCACGTAAATATCCTGATATAGAAATATACACATATATTATTATAAACAACAACATCACAATTCCTGGTAGGTAAATAACTTGGCAAGAGATCTGGCAAATTGTAAAACATCAGGTTTAACTGTGGCACCTGTAATCTGTGCTAAAACAATCAGCCAGCAGAACCTGTGGCAAAGAGTAAACAATCACCAAACGATCACTGTGTTTCCTGTAAAAAATGGTTTTTCAGCTCTGTTTAATAAACAAAAACAGGCTTCTTCTTTCAGTTTGACATTTCTGTAAATATCTAGTTACAGTCAGTGTATCTGTGCTGAGTAACAAGCAGGTAGAAATGTAAAAACAAAACCAAAAGGAAAAACTCTAAATGTCCTGAGTAGGTCACAGGGTGCGCCCCCTAGGGGAGGAACAGTGTCACTTATGATAGTGTGTGCTATAAAAGTATTTAATTCATTGTTATTCTTTCAAATATTTTGATAGCAATGCTGGTTTCTCTATACGAAGCAATATAAACAGTTAAACTCACTGTAAAGCGGCTAGTTTTTCCTGATGTAAAGGACATTCTGGTTTCGTTTATCGCGATGGTTTTTACTGCAGTTGACTTTTCTTTCTTCAATTGTAATCCTTTTAAGTTCATTCTTGTGGGAATTGCGCAGATGGAAAACCCTTTCTGTAAACCCAAGATAGGATCAGTAAGGAATGTTTGGGAACAAATGTCTTAGACCATAACATCTGTGGTGATTTTCTTGCTGCTGCAGATCTTTGACACTCCCAGCGTTAATGTTTTGGGAATCAGCTTTGGAAGCAGAGAGTCGACTTTCTTCCCTGGTTTTGATTTCCTCCTGTTACAAAAGAAATGTTGAGTGTTAGTTTCTCCAACAAATGAATGAACACAGTGCCATGCAAAACCAATCATCCTACTTCAACATCGTGATGTCTGTCCGACTTTCAAACAAGAACTTTTGCAAACTTTGTGGATTTCAGGTGAGATGCTAATAGAAAGCAGTTCATAACTGGGACAAACATAATCCAAGTCTTGATTAATCTTTTATGATGCGTTCTGACTGAACACTGTTTCCTTAAAATAAAATCCTATGTATCTACTTACTGTTAAACACCACCTAAATAGTAAAGCTAAGTGTCCCTCATCTCTTTAGGAATTCAGCTTTTCTGAAAAACCTTCAGAGGTTCATTAGAGCATTGATTCCCGGACTTTGGGTCATAATGCCACTTAATTTTTTTTTCCAGATCTTTTTTTTTATGCCAAGCAATACTTTGGATCATGGGACTATGTTAGAAATATTTTTAGGTCAGACGCTTAAATCTTTGAGAAGCAATGGCTTAGCGACATAGCTGAATGAAAGAAGAGAGCATCTTGAAGAACAACAAACAGCAAATAGGGTGGAGACACAAAGAAGATTGAGGTTATGCAAAAGGATGAATTAAGATCTGCATCTATGTCTGCACACACATCTTGCCTTTCATGCAACCTAGCGAGAGAAAAGCAGTCATAACAGCTCCAAAGGAGGTCCTGCTTGCAGCTATCTGTGAGTCATCAAGAGGACACAGCAAACATTTGGATCGAGGAGCTTTGGTTGAAAATTTAAAACGGAAATATCAGAAAATCTCTTAGTGGCAGAAAACTGGAAGGAAGGAAGGAAGGAAGGAAGGAAGGAAGGAAGGAAGGAAGGAAGGAAGGAAGGAAGGAAGGAAGGAAGGAAGGAAGGAAGGAAGGAAGGAAGGAAGGAAGGAAGGAAGGAAGGAAGGAAGGAAGGAAGGAAGGAAGGAAGGAAGGAAGGAAGGAAGGAAGGAAGGAAGGAAGGGGTTCACCAAATAAAAAGAAAAAAACAGCAAAGCACCAAACAGGGATACAGTAGCAGACTTTTACAACAACTTAAAAAACTTTTAATAGAGATGTGCAAACTGTTGTTATTGTTCATTTTCACATATCGACAAATCCCCACATAATTCATGTTTAAACTCACATGTTGATTGCTGCCCATACACAGAGAGACACCATCAGGATGGCAACGATGGCAACAGCAATGTAGAGGTAGACAGAAACCAGGGTCATCTCTGGCTCAACTGTGGGTTCTATGTTCTTCATTTCTAGAGGACAAACCGATAAAAACAGGCTTGTTAAAATGCTATTTTAGCATATAATTAAATTTTTAAAAATGTTTAATTTACTAAAAAAGTAATCTTAGAGAAAAAAAATGTCAATCCAAACTTTTTTTCCCCTCAAACATCTGGAAGAACAGTAAACCGCCTGCAGGGGGTGCTATATTACAGGTTGATGTATATATGTCCACCAACTCTATAACCAATACAATCAGGAATCTTATTGACAGAAAATATCTGTTGCAGATGTTTCAATAAGCAATATAAAATGAATAATTGGTGTAAAACATCAAATTTCCATCCAGATGCTTAGTAGATTTGTAAATATCCTACATGAGGGGGGTGAATTAAACATCAAAATTATTTTAATAATAACCCATAATGGTCTTAAGGTTTGTAAAATGTAACTGTGTCTGTCTAGAGCAGTATTTTACACTTTGATGTCATTTCCTAATACAAAAATATCCTTTTTATTTCTGTTTCTCTAAATGTTGAGCGTTGTGCAGTTTGACCTTTAAGTTCATGGCCCTTTTGTATTTTTTTAAAGTCAAACTATTTTTTAGTGCTTGTAGTTATATTTAATTTGAATGATAGGGCTCTTTCTCCACGCACGCCTTGTCATTTCTTTTATTTACATTAGTAATTGTTTTTAAACACTGTCTATCTATTTAATGATATAAGTTTGTTTTGGTCTCTCGTTCTGTGTTTTTAGGGTTTTTTTTTTTTGCTTGTTAAATGGGTTTCTTCACATGAGAAGGCATCTTCTGTTGTGTATCAGGAGGCTGAAGAAGAGACAATTTGTGCAAAAACTGCTACTGATTAAGTTTTTTTCTTGAGACTATGAAGATGTACTTCTGAAACAAACTGGAAGAAAAAACTTTTCATGCTTTAAAATCCCTAACCTGGATGACATGTTTCTGGGCTCCAGTCGCTCCAAATGCTTTTATCCACACAATATGAGTTCAGCCTGGACCGAACCTTGAAGCAGTTTATCTCACTGCTGTTGTTGAAAGTCAGAGTCAGGCTGGGGTTCCGGGCATGAATCTGTTTCTGTCAGTAGGGAAACAAAAATATTTAAATAGTTTTATAAGAAGAATGAATTCAAATCAATTCTGTGTCCTTCTGACAGAAATTAGATATAAATGCAAAAATGTAATGCAGAGCAAACTTAAAAGTATAGTGGAGGATTTTCACAAATTTTGGAGAAGACCCGCCTATTAAATGCATGCAAGAGCATGTAAAAGCAAATTTCTCCTCATGCAAGCTCAGTTTAAAAGTTGCTGTTTGCATTGCTCATACAAGCTTGCTTTGCAAAAAAAGTTTTTGCAATTTTTCCACTATGTCAGACTTACCAACGGTAAGTGAAAATGTGCATGAGCATGTAGGATTGCCTTACGTAAACATATCACCAGAATGATTGACAATAAGGAGGACCACTTATTCAGATGATCCACCCAGAAAAAGAACTCCTCCACTATACCATTTTGTTAAAATGAGATTTAAGTGCCTCTCTTACTAGATCTAACATCTTGGACAATGCTTAAAAAACTACAAAAACCAGCGGGCGTACTTGCAAAACTTTTTCTTACATGCTAAACATTTTGCCTGCATTCAAATTAGATAATGCAAAGACTTGTCGAATGAAGAACAGGAGTGAGTCTTTACAAAAGGGTACATATAAGATGAAACATACCGACGATATAGTTCCATCAGCTCCCACGTGGTGGTGTCTCACTTCCCACTCAAGGCAGTCTACACTAAACTTTCCAGCAGGATTCTCCCAGGAAATCTCCAGGTGCCTGTCGGGACGTGTTTGCAAATTCAGCTTATCTGGAGCTGCAGTCTTCACTGCAAACATATTGAAGCAGGGTTAGCAAAACACTAGCAAAGGAGAAAGGAATTAATCTGTATGATCTAGAGGAAAAACAGAACAGAACAGCCTCGGAGTACAAATATTTGAAGCATCACAGAGCTTAGATGGCAGTTGACGTTTACGCACCATGGTTTTGGATCTGCAAGGAGAAGTAGGCTGGCTTCAGGGGCCCTTTAGATGACGAACCATTCACACAGAAGTAGATATCAGAGAATTCAGGAAGAGGTTTTCCTGTGAAGTTGCAGCCCTTCCTGACTCCACCTGAAAAAATGTAGCTAGGGCATTCCACTGCCTGCTCCAGCAATCTATGCCTGTGGGAGAAACAAATCAGACATGTAGTCATGTGATGACTTTGCTTTGAGGTCTATGAGCAATGCAAAGGTGTCAGCAAAGTGAATGATATCTGCCTGCAGAATTTACAACGTGAAAAAGGTGAGGTGGGAGAAGTGTGGGAGGATGAGTGGAAAAACTACCGAAGCGTGAATGATGAGTCATACTGTAATCAGCTTCCAAACCTTGCAGATGCACTTGTTTTCTGCAAAAACAAGTGCATCTGCAAAAACAAGTACACAGCATTCACCAGAAAAAACAAGCATCCTTGTGTAATTCAGCTTCCTTTACCCAAGAAACACTTCTTTTAGCATGAGACATACCAGAAAAATAGATTCTGCTGTGCGCTGGCCGGGGTCCTCTGGCTGCTGGTCCAGATGCACTCCAGATTCTCCATGTTATGGTACATGCAAGTGAAATCTGTGGCTTCTGTATCCCAAATCCCTAGATGAAAGGATGATAAAGGAAAAACAACTAATTTTTATAAAGTAACAAAATTGATTTTCCTTTTCGCAACCACAAAGATCACTTAATTATGGAGGCTTTTAATGTGACAGATCCAAATATTTTAAATAAAACTCTATAGTTTGACCACATACAGACATATTTTTTTCATTATTTAATTTATCAACTCATTTAGTGTATATTCAATATAAAAGGACTCCGACAAGCTTCATGTCACTCCTGATGTAAAGCATTCCTGCAGCCTGATGCTGCCGTCACTATGTTTTGCAGTGGAGGTGCAAAGTTCAGGCTGTCAGTTTTGCACCAAACATCACATTTTTAAACAATATTTTCTTCTTCATAGCAGAGCACCTTTTTAAATATGTATACAGAGGTTTCTTAATGATTTATGTATCTATTAAAAGTATTTCCATCAATCTTCTGATTATGCACTACTTTCTGTTGCTTCATCATATATAATTCTAATAAAATACATTTAATTTTGAGGGTTTTTTTGCTGTATGATTATTTGTGGAAAGCAAAGTATTTTGCATGACAGCTGCACCACATATATATAAAGCTGACCTGTGTTGGGAGGTTTCACAACCAGTTCACTGTAGTCTTTGCTCTTTATCATCTTGTTGTTGGTGCACTCTCCGTTCAAAATGGTGAACACCTTCACTTGGACATCTTTGGAGAGGTCAAACTGGGCGCTGTAGGTCGTACTAAGTGTCCTGAGAACCTGCCAACCCAAATATCCAGACAGGTTGTTTCACATCCAAGATGCATTTAAGGAGTTTCAGTTTACCCACACAAATCCCACATGCTTTGGAGGATATAAAGAGAGGAGAGGATTAAAGGGATCAGTGTATATCAAGAGCTTAGAAGCTGTCTCTAAGTATCTCTAGGTGCAGTTAGTCCAGTTTTTAACAGCTTTATGGTGATTCTTTTGTTCTGTGACCTTTTTGGGAGATGTTTTTCAAAAGCTGACAGTGAAACTTTGAAATATTCGATTACATTGGATTAGCTCTGAGTCAGACTAATTCTTGCAACTGACTTGTGATAGAGTTTCTTTTATGCATTGTTACAGCTTATATTATCTTACTCTCTGACAGTGATAAAAAGCCCTCTTAAACAGGACTGCTTCTTATGACATCATCCTTATCTATTCCTTGGAAGAAACTGTATGACAGCTTGTTTTAGATTAAGGTAGGACCAGCAGCTCAGCCTAAGGTTGCAAAGTCCTCATCTATCTGACACCTTGTTAGCTCTAACAAGTGTTGAGAAATTTTCCACTGCCAGACAGGTTTATGTTTTATTAAGTATTTAGAGATGTGTTTATGCACTGTTCTTGGCAATCCTCTAGAAGCTGTGGAGATAAGGAAAATTCTCCATAAAGTGAAGAAGATGGCCAAGAATGTGCATCCTCTTCAGGAGATTTTTAAACAACAACAAAGTGTTTTCAGTAAAAGGCTTCTCCAGATTTGATGCAAGAGAGATGATACAAACGATCCTTCCTGCCTCCAGCTATCAACTCGATGAAAAAACAACAAACCCCCTAAGAGCTACTACAACATTTAATTTCCCTTTGGGCTAATAAAATATTATTGGATTGAACTGAATACATATTTATATATAAATACATTTATATTACATAGTTAAATCACAAACACATGTATCACTATAGTTTGCAAATATAAACAAATGTCAACTAAACAGTAAAATTTATTTAAATGTTTTATGAGTGACAGAATTGTGGATAAACTGTGCATGTTTATACTGGCTCAATACAGGGAAGAAGCTAAATGCATCTTAGCCAATAAGGTTGTTTTTATTTTTCATATCATTTTTAAAAATCTGCCCATTCTTATGTAGATCATGTGATTTTTAACTAAAGTTTCGCATAATCACCCCTGACATAATACTCTTGCAAAACAATTGAATTTTGTGAACCTGACTTGTGTGAGGGTTCTAGTGCTCTCGGGCTCCCCCTGCTGGTTTATGGGAGCGCTGCTATATTCAACTAAATAGACTCACAGCTTGATCCACGCGTGGATCCAAGGAATGAAATAAATTAATAAAATCCGAATAATAAAGGATCAAGTTAAAACATTAACAGTCATCTAAGTTAGATTAATTGTATCTATTGTTTTAAATGATTACAATCAGTGCCGCACCTTTAATAAAATGTGTGTCTATTTATACTCCTGCTGTCATAGTACTCACCTCCCATTTGTTCTTGTATGCATTGAAGTACTCCAGCTGGTACTGCAGCTGGCACTTGGTCATGTTCATTAGGCTGCTTGGTAACCTCCAGACAATCTCCAAACGTCCAAGGCGACCAGAGTCTAATACTGCAAGGTCCTCAGGGGGGTCCACTAGAATTTAAGAGTATATGAATCAAATGTATATATATATATATATATATATATATATATATATATATATATATATATATATATATATATATATATATATATATATATATATATATATATATATATATATTATTAGCTTCAAAATGCAATAAAATATGCTGGTGTGACCCCCTTTTTACAATTAATAGAAATTGTAAAAATTGTTAATATACCTGTGATAGCACAGCAAGGCATGCCCCCCCTCCAGGTTAGGAATATCAGCATCAGTAAAGGAAGCGCACCGGATCTATTGGCCATCGGTAGAAATCTAACAAAGAGTGGGAAAAACTGAAGAAAAAAAATCATATATAATCCAGAGAGATGTTCGCCGTATGAAATGTCCGAAAGCTTCTTCTGACTGATTCAGCCTCATCAAAAGACTTTGAAATAAATCATTTCACGTCATCAGAGTGAATGAATAGGCGGGGACGCTGCGCGGATACAGTATTTTCCTCCAGCAGGTTCAGTCTGAGTTTGATAGGCGCACTGTGCGCTTCTGGCACTCCGTTCCGCTGCTTTTGGGTGTGAGTCTTTCATTGTTTTATAATATGTATCGATCGATCCCACATTAAAATGTACTTGATGCGTTAATGATCACAAAATAATCCACCTGGCCAAAATGTTATTTTTTTATTTATTTATTTATTTTTTTTCTTGCATAGAGTATATATATAGATATACGTAAGAAATAAACCCTAAAAAAATACGATTTTACAAAAAAATAAATAAAGAAATCTAAAAGGATGTTATTTATATTTAGTAGAAGTGCTGCAGTAAACATTTTAACCCTTTCACTACTTTCTCGACCCCCCACCCCACCCAGTATTTTGTTCTTTTTGTGGCAAGTGCAGACTACACCAATGCCCTGCTATTATCCACTTGATGAAATAGCATTTTGTTCCAAAGAAAGCATCCAGGTTCAAAACATCTACCTATATGTGGAACAGAGGTAGTCCTTGAACCAGTGCCAGTGGAATGTGGCTGCAAAGGTCTTGATTTTGCATGAAGAAACCATGATTGTATAGTGATGTTTTGCACCATGTTGGGTAACAATATATTTTAAGTATATTTTCCTGCTCTACATAGAATGGGTTCAGCCTTTCTTGCAAAACCCCCTGAATCCAGAGATATGCCTGCATGAATGAGAAGTTGTCTGTTACAGTTTGGGCTTGTAATCATCTGTAATTAGATGCCTCTACCCCCTTTGCCGCTTGTTTAATTGGATCTAATGTTCCTCGATGTCTTGCACTGTGGCACTAATTCCTTTCCTTTTTCTTTGTAAAATTATTTTTGTTTCACTTCATCTGCAGGTAGTTTTTACCCTGCAATTCGTGAAATCACCGTGTCCAAGTTGACTAATCTATTCTTTGGTATCAAGTAATCAAGTCTTAGCAGGCCTTAATGAGGGAAACAGTTTATGCTGGATTGGTTTGGAGACAGAATATACTTACAAGCTCTTTTCCATCTGCTGTGGGGTGAGACTGCTGTCTTATTCTTCAGCATGAACTCTTATAGATTAAACTTTCCATTCTGCCTAAAGGCAGACACCTTTGATGACAGAATGTTTTGTCATCGCCTATTTTGATAAACCCACTTAGCCTGTTTGATTGCTCTCTCAAGGCTCCTTGCTATGCTATTATAGTCCTATGAAATGCTTGTTTGAAGTGCTAATCCTGCATTTAATAAACCTACTTAGGAGTAACCGTTGTTTATTCTTTCTTTGTTTCTTTTTGAATGAATAATAGCATGTTTAGCCTTTGATATCTTCTCAAATTTAGAAACATGAAACTTCAATTTTAGTTGACCTGTTTCAGGATGGTTACGCTTAGCACAAAAGTGCAAGAAATACAACCTGTTTCTGGCATTAACATAATCATGTTTAGTTACTCTAGAACCACTTATTTCATGTCAGATGGGTAGGACATAAAACAATTGTGTTACAGTAATTAAATACGATTAAGTAGATTCCAAAAACCTTGTTTTTTGCAGTGTGTAAGAGAACTGTGTGGGGTTAGATTTTCATCACAGTGCAGACTTCATCCTCAAAGTCAACATTATCATTATTTATAATATTGTTTTTATTGGTTTTATTCAGTTTGTTAATTCTTGATGCCCAATTGTCCATGTGCTGCTATAGGGTCCTGTTCACGGATGTGGGAAGAATGGAGCGGGAGATCGATATATGGATCACTGCGGCGGCTGCTCTATGCACCAGTCTGTTGTGTGAAGAGAGAGCTGAGAAAAGAGGCAAAACTCCTCGGTCCATGTGCCTTCTCTCCCCTATGGTCATTAATTGATTGATTGACTTTATTGATCTCACAGTGGAGAAATGCATTGTTACATCAGCTCAAATGTCAAAGGAGAAGAAGAATATGCCAAAGGAAGAAAAAGGTGCATGGGATATATACAGTTTATACAGTGTGTTTTTATTGTAGGATATTATACAGGGCTATGGGTCATGGAGTTTGAATCATGACAGAAAGAATCAACCAAGATACAAGAGGCTGAAAAAGAGTTTTCTTCACAGGATGGCTGGGTTCTCCCTTAGAGATAGGGTGTGAAGCTCGGCAGTTCAGGAGAGGCCCGGCACAGAGCTGCTTCTTCTCCACTTTGAAAGGAGCCAGTGGGTGTGGCTTGGAAATGTTTGACAGGTTTCATCTGGACGCCCCGCTTGGAAGGGGTTCAGCCTAGGGAACGACCCAGGACATGCTGCAGGGACTATGTCTCTCGGCTGGCAGAGGAGGGCTTTCTCCTGCAGAGCTGGAGGAGGTGTCTGGGGAAAGGGAAGTCTGGGAGTCTCTGCTGAGACTGCTGCCCCTGCCGGATTAAGCAGAAGATGCTGAGTACGAGTATTTGTTTGAAAGACCATAGTTCCGATATTAGCACCCCTTATGACGAGGAGCACTGATAATAGTGGAGGGGAAAAATATATAGTGGCTCTCTTGTTTTCCTTTAAAGCTTTGTGTGCATTTAAGTTGGGCGAACTGTGTGAATCTGTGAAGATTCATAAAAATTATAAGTTTGAGTATATTTGGGATATTATGAACACAGATGTTCACTTTATTGGATCTAAATGCAACATACACTGATTTCTATTTATTCACTGGATTGCTGATAGGCAGTTGGTAGTACATGATGCTATGATGTCACCAGCCGCCATACTGGTACTCCCTAGCTAGACCAGTCGGAACATAAAGACTACATGCACTACAACATTGAACAACAACGATGTTCTCATTTTCAGGTGGGCTTAAGACTTTGAAAATATAGATAAAGTAATTTCTTTGACACACATTTGGTGTAGTTCACTGTAATTTATGGTAAAAATCACATTGCACAGTCAGTATGAAGTTCAAGAAGTCTATAAATATTGTAAAATAACATATTAGAAAAATCCATCAGAAGAAAATTAGTGTGTTAATGGAGCATAATACTACTGTAGTGAGATATGATAAAAATACCAGACATGCACACACACCTTCACACACACTATCTGATGATGTGCCAAAAGTGCCAAATTGATGATGTACATGTAATAGACATGTGTTGGTTACATTGGTAGGGTAATTACATTACATTAGAGATATTTTTATCGCTGTAATGTAATTAAGCTTAGTCAAAATCTGGCCCTACATGAAGTTGAGATCCTTTGCATAAACTTGAAACCTAATGTTCACATATAATATCCATCTTGTTTAACTTAGTGGACTGATAATTTATAATGACAATAAGGTATAAAATGTTTAAAATTATAGAGATGTGTTCAATTCTCAATTCATTGTAGGTTGAAGAGACTAGATTAAACCTCAACATGTTTTTTTACCCCAGACCATAAAGAAGCACAGGAACAAACTTGTGTTTTAGAGTGAACTCCATCTAAGTGGTGTAAGCAAAAAATGCTCAGGTTTCTTTACTGTGTAACATTTCATACTGATTGATGTTCCTTTATTGTTTTGTTTGTTTATATGGGTGGGGTGACATCAGGGTTGGGAAGTGGATTGACATTAAGCTTTAAAGCTTGGAATTATTGCTGCCCTCAGGATGTAAAACTGGAAAGACCCATTGAACGTCTCAGTGGAGTTGCTTGCCTGGAATAAGGTCAAATCAGTGCAAAAAAAAAAGAAAGGAAAATCAATGCCAAATTTTTAATCTACCTCATTACTAGGCCCATTAAGTTCCCAATCAAGTGTTATGGGAGTGTTTTCTGCGGCCAAACAAAACAAGCATCTTTAAATGGCCAACTTTCATCTTATATCAGAGATATGATTGTTTCTTATTTTCCTAACAGAGCACTTAGCTCTCAATCTGCAGCTTTACTAGTGGTTCTTACCATTTCTAAAAGTAGAAATGGAGGCAGATCTTTTAGTTATCAGGGTCCTCTCCTGTGGAACCAGCTACCAGTTTTAGTCTGTGTGGCAGACACACTGTCTATGTTTAAGGCTAGGCTTAAAATTTTCCTTTTTGATGAAGCTTATAGTTAGAGTGGCTCAGATTATCCTGAGCATCTCTATAGTTATGCTGCTATATGCTGGAGGGACATCATTCTGTTTCATTCTATCTCTATTCTCCCACTGCAGAATCTGTTAGTTCAATCTCTAACATTATGCTCTCTCTGCTTTTTGTCATAGTAGCTTTGTCTCGTCTGTTCCTGTTTGGCTGTGACACCACCCTGGAGAGAAATATCAGCTGTGCTGCTTTCATCAACACCTTTGTTTATAGATGTTGGATATTGGCCTGTTTTTCCAGTTTAGTCCTGTTTCTCTGACTGTGACTGGCTGGATGTGTTCTCTTCATCCTCTGACATCTGAGTTGGCTCAGAGCTCGTCTTCCTGACTTTGTGTTTCCTGGACGGGTTCGCTTTTTACAGCTGCTTTTTGTATCTCTGCTTCTGTCTCCTTGAGCCCCATTCAGCCTCGGCAGATGGCCGCTCACACTGAGCCTGGTTCTACTGGAGGTTTTTTCCTGGAGTTTTTCCCTTCCACTGTTGTGAAGGATTGCATTCCACTTAGTGTGAAGGATTGCATTCGAGTCAATGAGTCGATGCAATCAACTGTTTTTCCTTGGATAGAAAACTTTAAATCAATTTGACTGGATGATCTGGTGAACTGTAAAGTGCCTTGAGATGACGTGTTGTGAACTGGCGCTATATAAATAAACTGAACTGAATTGAATTGAAATAGGCTTGGTTGTTGTTTGCAAAGTTACCAAATCTACTATATATACTATATTTAGCCACAGGATGCTTTGAAATATGTCAGAGGGACAGTAATTGACATGATTGCTACAGTAATTATGACTCTGGCGCAGCAGCAATTACGTATGACAGGAGTCATCAAGAGTTTTTAATATATAAGCTTTAGGCTAGAAGTTGAATTA